CGGGATGGACGCCGGCGAGAGAAAGGCCTGAGTGCGTCGCCGCCGGAGTTGAGCGCTCGGAGAGGTCTGGTGTCGGCGCGCGAGGAGGAGGAGGTTGTGTTCTTCCTTTGGTTTCCTTTTCTTGTCTGTCTGTTATTTGTAGTTTGTTTGTCTGTTTGTGTCTTTCTTTTTTCCAATGTTTTTTTTTCTTTTTTATTCCTTCTCACTTTCTCTTTCTTCTTTTCTTCTTCTTTTCATCATCATCTTCTTCTTCTGTTAAATATTACTTACATCTAATCCTTCTATAGTTGAATTTATCACTTAGCTCCTCTTCTTTTCAAATAATTTTTGAATCCTCATTTATTCCATTTCATTCTCTCTCTCTCTCTCTCTCTCTCTCTCTCTCTCTCTCTCTCTCTCTCTCTCTCTCTCTCTCTCTCTCTCTCTCTCTCTCTCTCTCTCTCTCTCTCTCTCTCTCCCTCTCTCAAATCTTCAATCTATAATCTATTTTTATGCATTCTATCGATCACCAACGTCCTCTATTTAACATCCACTTTGTTATGGATTCGGCGCTGTAACAGACCTGCATATGGGAGTGTGTCTGACCTGATCTGCCTTTCAATCGCGACCTGATATGACCTTCGTCGGTGTTAGAGCGTTTCCTTGATCTTTTCGGGCCGCGGGACTCGATCTAGGAGAGCGCCTTGAGCGGGGAGGGGGGGGGGCGAGGGAGGGGGGATGGGGTAAGGGGGTTATTTGGCGTCGAAAGGGCATCGGAGTCTAACACATGGTGGTGTTTTTGAGTCTGTGTTGTTTTTTGGCTGTTAGGTTGACTTCTGTTTTTTGTTTTTGTTTGTTTGTGTGTCTGGCTGGTTGCTTTCTCTCTCTCTCTCTCTCTCTCTCTCTCTCTCTCTCTCTCTCTCTCTCTCTCTCTCTCTCTCTCTCTCTCTCTCTCTCTCTCTCTCCCTCTCTCTTTTTATCCTTGCTTCGTTGTCTATATCTTGCTTCTATCACCTTTTTACGCTCTCATTCCGCCATTCCTCCTTTCCCTCCTCTATCCCCCCCTCCTTCCATTCTCCTCTATTCTCCACCTCTCTGCTCTCTCTTCCCCTACACTCCCCTCTCCATTCCCTCCCCTCTCCATCCCTTCCTCTGTCTTTCCCCTTTTCCCTTCCTTCCCTTTCCCCCTCTTTCTCCTCGCCTTCCCTTCCCCTTCCCCTGCCTTGTCCCTTTTCTCCTTCCCCCTCCCCTCCTCTTTCTCTCCCCTTCCCTCCCTTCCCTCCTCTCTCTCCCTCTCCTCTCCCTCCCCTTTCCCCCCCCCCCCACACACCCACTAAACTAGCGAGCAAATCAAACGCCAATAACAAACGATACAATAACTCAAAAAAAACACATCAAAAACGCACATAAAGAAATACAAAAAAAAAGTGACAAGCATAAATAACGCACCCGAGAATAAAAGCGACATAGATGAATAATTCACAGGATAAGAGCAAGAAGAAAAACAAGCATATTGGTCTACGAACGGCGTGTCAGACGAACGAGACCGAACTGCCCGGTTTTGTGAACGACGTGGCTTCGGGTGTCCTCTGTGTGTGTGTGTGTGTGTGTGTGTGTGTGTGTGTGTGTGTGTGTGTGTGTATGTGTGTGTATGTGTGTGTGTGTGTGTGTGTGTGTGTGTGTGTGTGTGTGTGTATGTGTGTGTGTGTGTGTGTGTGTGTGTTTGTGTGTGTGTGTGTGAGAAAGAGAGAGAGAGAGAGAGAGAGAGAGAGAGAGAGAGTGAGTTTCTCTATTTATGTATATATATTTAGATACGTATATATAAGTTTGCATATATATAAAAGTTTATATATATACACATACATACATTCATATATGCATATATATTGTGCGCATTTGTGTGTGCATGTAAGTGTGTACGCGCATGTAAGTACTGCAAGCACGCGTCTAAAGGTGCGACCGGTACTTGCGTGCTTGTGTATGTTTTATGTTATTGCTTGGTCATATTTGTAAACATCATAAAGTTGGTTTTCCTTTGTGCTTTGAATCAAAGTCGATGACCTGTGAAGGCGGGCAGGTCTGTATTTTAGCTGTGTTTATTGGTAAAAATGGTAGTTAAGGTTGAAATTGATTTGACGATGATTTAAACGGTTTTTTTGTTTGTGAATTAATTATAGATTGTTATTTAGCTCTTGTTATTGGGAGACAGATGATGATTAAACAAACAATGATAACAAATGAAATTAAGAAAACGAGTGTGTGGGGGGTGGAGGGGAAAGAAAGAGAACTGAGAACTTTCAGAAATAAAAGTGACAAAAAATGCAACAAAAAACAATAACAAAAACAGCAACGACAAAAACATGAATGAACAAGTAAAGGCCAACAAGAGAACAAGGAATAGACACAGAGTGAGGGGAAAGGGGGAGAGAGAGAGAGCTACCTGACGCAGACACAACAATGAGGGGCGAAAGAGGAGAGAGGAGAGAAGGAAGGAGGGAGAGAAAGGGAGGGGAGAGGAAAGAGGAATGAATAATTCACACCTGCACGTCACACCGGCTACCCCTCCCCCCCCCACCACCAGCATCCTCTCCCCCCCTACCCTACCTTTTGCCTCTTTCACCCCCCCTCCCCCCCACCTGACCCCTGGCCACCCCTTTACGTAGCACGTGTTGTCCAGGGACCTCTCGCTGTGAAGGAAGGAGGGGAAGGAGGAGGAGGAGGACGAGGGGGGGAGATGGTGAGGAGGAGGAAGAGGAAGAAGAGGAGGAGGAATGAGGGGAAGGGGGAGAGACGGAGGATGGAGAGGAGGACGACAACCAAACAACCGAACAACTGAAGACCCGAGAAGCACCGCCGGACCGCCTCCTCCTCCTCCCTCTTCTTCTTCTCCTCCTCCTCCTCTTCCTCCTTCTTCTTCTTCTTCTTCTCTTCCTCCTCCTCCTCCACCACCACCGCCTCCTCCTCCTCCTCCTCCACCTCCTCCTCCTCTTCCTCCTCCTCCTCCCCCACAACCTCCTCCTCCTCCTCCTCCTCCACCACCTCCTCCTCCTCCTCCTCCTTCTCCTCCTCCTCCTCCTCCTCCTCCTCCTCCTCCTCCTCCTCCTCCTCCTCCTCGACGCCCCAAGGGAAGGGCAGGAAGGTGCGCCTACCGAGGGGGACGTATCAATCATTGACGTAGGACCCGCGCTGGTCGTCGCTTCAATGGGGTTTTATGGGAGACACTTTCCCGTTATTAGTGCGAGCTCAAGAGGGTGAAACAAAGGGAGAGTAAAGGGGGTAGGAGGGAGGGAGGGAGGGAGGGAGAGAAAGAGGGAGAGTAAAGGGGGTAGGAGGTGAGAGGGAGGGAGGGAGGGAGAGAAAGAGGGAGAGTAAACGGGGTAGGAGAAGCGAGGGAGGGAGGGAGATAGAGAGGTAGGGAGGAGAGGGAGGGAGGTAGAGAGATAGATAACTAGATGAATAAGAATATAAATGGATTAATAGTATATAGTCTTTTGGGGTTGTATGGTTGTGTCTATAATCATTGTTATTCGTGGTGTATTTAATTGGATGCAATATACCTTTCCTGCTACGCTCTATCGTATATGAATATATAGAACGAGATACGGAAACGAAAGGCAGAAGAAAGAGAAAGATGAAAACTAAGATAAAACAAGGAAAAGGGGTGCTAGAGCGGAGAGGCGACACAAGCAAAGGAAAGGGAAGAGAGAGAGAGAGAGAGAGACAATCGAATCACACGCGGACGCATTTACCAGAAGGTCTCTTTCCTCTCTCCTCCCCTCCCCTCCCTCTCCTTCCTCTCCCTCTCTCTTCCTTCCTTCCTCTCCCCCCTTGCCCTCTTTCCTCTCCTCTTCCTCCCTCCTCTCCTCTTCCTCACTCTCCCCTCCCACCTCTCCTCTTTCTTCCCCCTCCCTCCCTCCTTTCCCCCTCCCTCTCCCCTCCTTCCTCTCCCTCACTCCTTTCCTCTGTCCCCTCCTCCCCTCCCCGCCTTCCTTTCTCTCTCCCTCCCCCCCCATCCCCCGCCTAGCCTCTGGACCACCTGGTGCCACGCTGACACCTCCGTCAGGCAGTCCCAGATGGCCGGTCGCGCTGACGGAGCTGACGAGGCTGACAATGAACTGGCGAGCGGTAGGTTGGGCTTATTGCAGTACGTGACTCAGCAGAAATTGTGCAGCGGATGGGAGGCAAGAGGAGGGGGGGGGGGGCAGGTGTAGGTGAGAGGGGTGGAAGGAAGGGAATGGAAGGGGGGGAGGGGGGTAGGAAGTGCGATGTGGAGAGAGAGAGACGGGGGATTGAGAGAGAGAGAGAGAGAGAGAGAGAGAGAGAGAGAGAGAGAGAGAGAGAGAGAGAGAGAGAGAGAGATGGGAGGAGAAGAAGAGACGGAAAGGGAGAAACGGAGAAGAGGGGAAGGGAGAGGAAAAGTTGGAAAGAGAAAAAGAAAAAGGATTTAGAAAAAAAAGAACAGAAAGAAGAGAATTAATTAGCAGAAATAGAGCGTGATAAAAAAAGAAAAGAAAAATGGGGGGGGAGGAGGATTAAAATGAAAGAATAAAAGTGAAATGTGAAAAAAAAACAATAAAAACAATTCGAATTGATTAACCTCCGTTTTCCTGTATAATCTGTAAATTCCTTTTTTTTTCTATTTCATCCATTTGCTTTCCATATTATTTGCAACTGCATTTATCTTGAGGATTTTCAGGAAGTAAATTTTTAATGAAATAACACACACACACACACTTATCCCCAAACACACACACACACACACACACACACACACACACACACACACACACACACTACACTACACTACACTTACACTACACTTACACTACACTTACACTCACAATCACACTCACACTTACACTCACACTCACACTCACACTTCCCCCTCTCCCCCCACACACACATACCCACAAACACCCCCTACCCCCCCCACCTACACTAAGAACCCAATTCCCTAATTATATATCATTTCATCTAATCTAATTCTCTCTCTCTCCCCTTTCTCCCCCCGCCCCCCTCAGGCGCCAGGAAGCCGAGGACCGCGAAGCCGACCGACACGCCACGAACCGGCTGATGATGGGCATGACACCTGAAGGAGGATCGAAGCCGCTCTACCCCGGTGCCCAGGACTCCTCTCTCACTCCTCTGCCTCCGGTCCAGATGCAGAATCCGAGTCCTTCGCTGTCGGCTGTTTGAGGAGGAGGAGGGAAGGATGGAAGTGAAGGAGGAAGGGAAGGATGGGAGTGAAGGAGGAAGGGAGGATGGGAGTGAAGGAGGATGGAGGAAGAAGGAAGATGGAATCGAAGGAGGATGGAGGAAGAAGGAAGATGGAATCGAAGGAGGATGGAGGAAGAAGGAAGATGGAATCGAAGGAGGATGGATGGAAGGAAGATGGAATCGAAGGAGGATGGATGGAAGGAAGATGGAATCGAAGGATGGATGGATAGGAAGATGGAAGGAAGGAAGAGGGAAGGATGAAGCAAGGAAGAAGATGGCTGGATGGAACGAGGAAGGAATTGAGGAAGGATGGATTGAACGAGGAAGAAAGGAAGGAGGGAAGGATGAGTGAAAAGGAGGAAGGAGGGAAAGAAGGAAGGAAGGAATTCTTTCTTTCTCCTTCGTCTTATTCCCCCAAGATGTCCGACGACTTAATTTTCGATCGTAAGGAATGAGAAAGAGAGAGAGAGAAAAAAAAAAGACATATAGAAAAAAAAGAAGAGAAGAAGAAAGAAAGGAGAAAAAGACAAACACAGAAAGGGGGGGAAAAATTGATAAAGGAAAGAGAAAAGAGAGGAAATGAGATATGGACGAGGTTAGCATACGACTTCCCTTCTCGCTCCCTCTCTCTTTCTCCCTCCTCTTCTTTTTTTCTCTCTTCCTTTGCTATTTCCAACTTTCATCTGTTATCCGCGATTCCTTCAGAGAGGGCAGTGCCTCCTTCTTACGCCGGAGAGAGGATGAACCACTGTCAGTTATAGTGTGACGTCACGGTTCTACAGGAGTTCATTGGACTCTGAAAAAAAAAATCATTTGAAGGTATAATTAGAAATAGTGTAATATAATAATAATAAAAAGAAAAAAACAATACACAGTGATAAAGTGAGTGAAGAGTAGTCAGTGAAAAATAAAAGGAAAGAAAAAGTGTTGTTTGCTGATAAAAGACAGACGAAATGAACAAATACTCTTTATCCGAATTGAGTGAAAGTAGAAAAAATAAACTAAATAAGATAATATAGTTGTAGTACAATGAGGAAGTTCTCATAAACATTTAAGTGTTCAATTTCCTTTATTTTATTTTATCTTCGTTCACCCTTGAACACTCTTACCAGTGAGAAAAAAAAACTATGTGTACGGTTGGTGAAGAAAACGCGCGCCCGTGTGTGTGTGTGTGTGTGTGTGTGTGTGTGTGTGTGTAAATATATTATATAAATAATCATAGAAAATGGAAGATACAACACCCGATCAGCTGGTCTTACGAAATTCCTAAATACATGTTAGAAAAGACGGTAGATCAGTCTTATATATAAAAAAAAGAAAGTCCTAAAAAAAAATGCACTTTTTTTCTCTTTTCCGTTTTTTATGTCACTTGCATACATACCCTTTCTATTCTGTATTTATATAGTTGTTGACAATTTTTTTTCTACTTCTTGTTTCCCCCCCCCCCTTCCCCCCCAATCCCGTTTTTTAAAAGTAATTTTGTTTTGTCTTTCGTATCACAGAGCCTCGAGACACACAGGCTATACATATATATAAATATATATATATATATACGAATGTAAACAAAGACGTTCTATTTCAGACTAAAGAAATGATGTTTGTTACTATTGCAGTGCCTAGGCATAGCCATGGGCGTAGGACCTTTTTAAATGTTTTGTAGTTTACATTTGTCGCTCATCTTCAGCACTCAGACATACGTGTATATAGTCTCCGAAAAGTGTCTTTTTTTACCTAAGGGGGAAATCACTGTAGGTAAAAAAAAATCAAAGAAGTTGAAGAAGAAATAGGGAAAGAAAATGTGTGTGTACAATACTTATATTAGTCTTCAGTGAAAGAATAAAAAAAGTGTTTAATCACCAAAAGGCAAACGGAATTATCATATATATATATACACATATATATGTATATATATGTATGTATATGTACGTATCCATTAATGCGAAAGTCTCTTAACTATTCTACATGAGTTTATCATTAAAAAGCCTTCCAAACCGCTAAGAAAAAATCAACAAAAGAAATGAAGAGAGAGAAAAAAACGCAAAACCGCCAATCTCGTCCTCCCGTTCAAACATTTTATTTATTCATTCTTACCCTCGAAAATCACAGACAAAACGTTTCCACACTCCTTCAAGAACCACCACAAAACAAAAATGAAAAAGAAAAAAGAAAAAAACGTTCCTCAAACGTTTTCTCGATGTCCTGTGATCATCCAGTCCCTCTCCCTCTTTCAACAGAGCCTTCCACACCCTCGTTTGTAAATAGAAAATAGACATGATCAGATCGGAATCTATATATCCCCGACGTCTCTCCTCTCTTCCCCCTTGAACTAAATCTCACTGAAGCCACAACCGAGGCAGTGTGATTTTGTTCTTGCGTAGATATATTGGAAGGGAAGAGGGGGAGGCGAGGACCTTGAAGAGGAGAGGGAATAAAGGCAGTGGAAATTCGGAGGAAGGAACGGGGATGTCAGAGAGAGAGAGAGAGAGAGAGAGAGAGAGAGAGAGAGAGAGAGAGAGAGAGAGAGAGAGAGAGAAGAGAGAGAGAGAGAGAGAGAGAGAGAGAGAGAGAGAAGAGAGAGAGAGAGAGAGAGAGAGAGAGAGAGAGAGAGAAGAGAGAGAGAGAGAGAGAGAGAGAGAGAGAGAGAGAGAGAGAGAGAGAGAGAGAGAGAGAGAGAAAGAGAGAGAGAGAGAGACAGAGAGAGAGAATATAACACTTTCTTCGTCTCGCGCGATTTTGAGACGAAGCACAAGAAGGTGAACACGAATTGAAATGAAACAAGAATCGAACAGCAAAAAAAAAAAGAGAGAAAGAGAAAAAAATGAAAAAGGAAAGAGAGAAATAAATAAAGACGATAATAAAAAAATAAAAAAAAATAGTTCCAACCAACCCTCTTCAATCACAGTGACAAATCCCCCCGGAATGTTTCAGACGCGATCAATCCCGAATAGAGCCGAGCATTCAACTGAATCACTTTTTAACAATATATCGAATTCGCGGCGGTCGATGGACGGTGCCGGGGATGGAAAGCGGGTTGGGATCAATTATTGCATAAGCCTTTTGATGGAGTAGTTGATCGGTGAAAGATGTTCGAGGTTTCAAAAAGGTGGCTTAAGGAAATCTCTATTTTTGGAAAGGCTGTGGGGATGAATGAGAAAAAAAAAAATGAATTTCGTGATTATTTATTTATTTATTTATTTATTTATCATTATTATTTATTTTTTTTTTTTGCGATAGAATGAGGGATATTTTGTCATCTTTCCTGTGTGGTTCGTGATAGGAGTTGGATTACGTTCAGATACCTGATTTATCCTAAAAAAAAAAAAAAAAATCATTCACGTATCCGTTCATTTCCGCTTCTTTGCAGTGTACCTATATTAATAGATCTGACAAGATGTTGACAAAAACATAACTCGATTTTTAAGAACGAATTTAAAAGCCCCGGTGCCACCAGGCCATGTATAGTTATCTCCGACATTTATTTTGCTTCGGACTAAAATTGGAATCGCTAGTCATTGCAAAAAAAATTAGACTCCGCTTAATTCTTTTAAATCTTTCATCGTCTGTATAATTGGCAATGCAACTGCAAAGGATAAAAAAAGTATCTTGGTTAATCTTGTGTGGACAATAGCCCCCTGTTTCGCAATTATCAGTTCGAAGCCTCATATCTTGAACGGGACGAGGAAGAAAATGTGAAAATATCTACACTTTCTCGTTGTGGCAGCCGCGGGAAAGTATTGTACTGGCAAACGCGATATATTATACACCTGCTGCATTCGTTTGCTCTTTGGTGAATATGTATATATTTATTTTTTTCTCTAGCGGTTAAATAACAAAGTAAAGTTAAGAGGAATCGCTTTCGATACGAACCAAAGTGAGACGCCGCGTTCGAAACTGCACGATCCGAATCTTATACGACTGTTACTAAAACAAATAAAGAAAAACAGAAGAAGAAGAAGAAGAAAAGGCGTAAACAAGTAAACCGAGAAAGGAATTTTAAACACAAAAGAAGGTCCTAGGAATGACATTATGTTAGAAGTATAGTTGTCACGTAGAGGCAAAGTACAGGTTAGCCTTTGCCCGTTCGTGTCACCATAAATACAGCATTCTTTTGTCAACCATAACAATACAGTGAATAGAACTCCCCCCCACCCCCACCCCCAAGCCCTCTATCATAACATCATACATAACTCCAGAGAGCATAGACTAGAAAGGAGAGAGAGAGAGAGAGAGAGAGAGAGAGAGAGAGAGAGAGAGAGAGAGAGAGAGAGAGAGAGAGAGAGAGAGAGAGAGAGAGAGAGAGTAAGAGTAAGAGAAAGAGACAGAGTGAGAGAATGAGAGAGAGAGAGAGAGAATATAAAGTAAAAAAAGTATACCAATACTGGAAGGTTATAATAATTACATGTTCTAACGTTGTACAACCTCCCTACATTGTCTGTGCTGCACCTTCAGGACAGGGAACAACTCTACTGCACCTGTAGTCCCTCCTGTACCCTGGGTGGTCGCTGTAAGAAGGTGCCCGATAAACTAACGCGCTGACTGTGACATGCTTTTTGTGTTGGTCATTTTCACCCTTATTGTAGGAGTCGATAAAGCTTAGTACTTTTGAAGTCTGTACATAATGGTCTTTGTAATAAGCAAAATGATGATAGAAAAGATGTTTTATTTCCCTAATAAAAAGTAATGATGCATTCATCGGATCCAGGTGGACATGTGTTTGTGCAAATAAAATGTAATTAGATTACTTTGCGTTCCTAAACGTGGTACTTAGTGATGATAAATGTACAAGTCCTCCCTCTACAGATACGTGCAGACACGCACATGGACAATGAAGGCAGATATATATTAATAGATGAATATACAAAAGATGAATAGAATAAGTGTGCAAGCATACGCACACGCACACACACACACACACACACACACACACACACACATACACACACACCATCAGGACGGTCATACACACACACACACACAAATACACACACACAGCATCAGGACGGACACACATACACACACACACACCATAAGGACGGACACACACACGCATACACACACACACACACACACACACACACACACACACACACACATACACACACATACACACACACCATCAGGACGGTCATGCACACACACACACACACAAATACACACACACAGCATCAGGACGGACACACACACACACACACACACCATAAGGACGGACACACACACGCATACACACACACACACACACACACACACACACACACACACACACACACACACACACACACACACACGTAACATAAACCGGAAATACGTTCAAATAATTGAGAAAGGTCGGAATGATACGTAATGCAACACAGAACATAATGAACGAATAAATATTGAAAATAATAAATGATAAATGGTGAATAAAGCGTAGAAAAGGATAATTCGAAACGGAAAAGACGACGAGAGACGGAGCGGAAGATGACAGGAGTTTCAATCAGATATTTCACTTTAACTACGGTTTATAGCCATGCCGTCAAGGGTTATTGAAAAGCACGGTGTGTGTCGAGTCCGTTCTTAGTCTGTCTGTTTGTCTGTTTCTCTCTCTGTGTCTCTCTTTCATGTCTTTCACTTGGGACTTTTTGTTTTTATCTTTTTCCTTTTTCATCCGTTTCCTCGCTTTTTTCTTTCTCTCTCTTTCTTTCTCTCTCTCTTCTCTCTCTCTCTCTCTCTCTCTCTCTCTCTCTCTCTCTCTCTCTCTCTCTCTGTCTGTCTGTCTCTGTCTCTGTCTCTGTCTCTGTCTCTGTCTCTGTCTCTGTCTCTGTCTCTCTCTCTCTCTCTCTCTCTCTCTCTCTCTCTCTCTCTCTCTCTCTCTCTCTCTCTTATTTGACTAAATCAATTTCACGAGTGACCATTTTTTTACGTTTTTATCTTAAAAAAAAAGTTACACTAGAGAGACAAACTGATGAACTTGTAGATGAAATGAGAAATTGTCGATAAGATTTAGACACATTATATAGTATTCTCAGTCAGTAAGAAAAATGAAGGAGGATATGAAAGATAATGAAAAAATAATAGATAGATAGAGAGATAAACAGATAGATATAGACATGGATACGGCTATGTGCATAAATATACACACATATATATTTGTCAAGATGTGATTATAAAATCAGTCTAGGTTCTCAATACTGACACTTGTGAG